GCACAGATCAATTATGCACGGAAGTCCAAATTGAAACAGTGCCTGTTACGGTTTTGGATTGACTTGTAGGCTCTTATTAAATCACTTTACAGTGGAAAAAGAGACAAAAGTCATTATACACAAGCTGCTTTCACGACATATCCATTCAACTGTTTGTTTGTTTTCTAATTTCGCGCAAAGCTACACTAGGGCTATCTGCGCTAGCCGTCCCTAACTTAGCAGTGTAAGACTAGAGGGAAGGCGGCTAGTCATCACCACCCACCGCCAACTCTTGGGCTACTCATTTACCAACGAATAGTGGGGTTGACCGTCACATTATAACGCCCCCACGGCTGAAAGGGCAAGCATGTTTGGTGTGACAGGGATTCGAACCTACGACCCTCAGATTGCGAGTCGAGTGCCTTAACCACCTGACCATGCCGGGCCCCATTCAACTGTTGCATACCTCAAACAGCTGCAAAATTAAACTTGTTTCCACGTGACCTGTGGATTATAGTGTGATCGAACTGTTGAGACGGGCACAGGGAAATCATTTTCTGATACACTGGCTGTATTATATAAAGAATGCAGGCAGGAGTGGTGTGTTTTGGACATGACAGCTTTACAACAGATCCTTTTGCAACTGTACAGTGTAAGACGAGAAACGCCTACTATGTGGTAGATGAAAATATAACTGTAATGTTGTTGTAATTGAAAATATAAGATTTTATGTTACAAATAAACATCAGATATGGTGGAACTATGGTATGTTCTTTGGTTACTTAATCTACCTGTATGTTTTGTACGAAAGTGTTTTGTGTTTTAGAGCAAAAAGCACATTAGACTATATGCTATGTCCATCGCTGAGAATCGAACCCCGAATTTTAGCATTATAAGTCCGTAAACTTACTGCTTTTCCATCGGGGAAAGTGAGCGTTGCTATCGCATTTGTAAACTTTTACTTGAACTGTACTTTAAAATCAGCTTTGAAGAAAACGTTCTATTAGTTATGGCTTTTATCCTCTCGCTCTTGCAATTATTACAAACTAAATGTATTTTACATTTTTTTATGATATTAGTTATCTATGTCCAAACCAAAGTGCAAATGTATTCTAATTACTACTATTTCAAACAAAATACAGTTTTAGCTCCCTCTTATAAACAGTTAATTTCACATTATTTTTCCTTCAGCTTCCTTAGAAAAGTTGATTTATTTCTTGTGCTTTCAACATGACTGCCGCCATGTTTGGTTTCTGTTACTGCCAAAATCGTACTGACTTTCCAAAAGTTGTGTAGATGCAGGAATTTCAGTTCAATTAAAGAATCTCTCTATTGAAATCGTGTAGTTTCTATTTGGCAGTTCGTCCAAGAATAAATATAACTTGTGGATTGAATTGCAGATAAAGAAGCAATAAAACATTATGTATTTTAGTATGCTTAATAGCAAGTTTTGAAAAAAATATTTTTTATGAATTTGTGCTTTCGATTTTTTCTTACGTCAATGGATGAGGGCCATAGCTTTGTATATTTAACATACACTTACGTTTTTCGCTTTATTGCATAAGATATATCTTAAGAGTTTTAAAATATTTGAGAATTTCTCCTTCAAGTGAACCTGAAGATACAATGTCTAATCATTGTCATCCCGAGTAATGAAATAATAACTGAAATATTTTACTAATAATGTTAAGAAAAAATCACATACCTTCTTTTCGAAACAAACCAGCAGGCGCCCTCTATAACAAACATTATTGGCAATGGATTTCGTGGTAGTATTTATTTTTAATATTCTGGTTCCATTTAAAAAAAAATGAGGCAACTAAACTTCGAACTATAATTTTTATCATTTCCACTAGATGACGCCACAGAGAGCTGTTGCTCTGATTTAAAAATTTAAAATAAACATGAATACCCGAAGAAAAAAAAAAGATAACTCTTCAATATTTTGAAATATGCAGGAGAGGAAATGATACTTTTCATACTTGTTGTTTATACTAGGTCGGCTTTGAAATGCTTAATCCACATTTAATGTATATTTTATTAATAAAGTGTGTAAACACTATTTTCGTTTGTTTCGATGAGTTACTTCTGTAAATAAGATATGAGAGACTCCAGATCTGTTAATAAAATAATTCGTACAATTTATTCTCAGTAAATGTATTATGAAAGTTTAATAGCTTTCGCTTGTTGGAATTATAAAATTTACTCTCCATCACCACAACATAGATAAAAAGACAAAATGTTGAGATATTAAGATTTATTGCTAACGCATGAAAAAACCCTTGATATCCATATTTTGATTTATTTCAGTCAAGTAGTGCATACATATGACTTTTTTTTTAAGTTCGAGCTCATAGGTATAAACATAGTGACGGTTCATATAGAAGTAGCTATTACGTTTCTGTATAAACACGTATTGAAAGAAACATATTTTTCTCATATAACTATTTAAATATTTATTATCAGATATTTCGTTTCATCTTATAGCACTTCAGTCCAATATGGTTATGCAACTAAGAAAGCCTGTGACATCACGAACAATTTATCTATCAAATAAGAAAGCCAGTGACATCGTGAACAATTTATCTATCAAATAAGAAAGCCAGTGACATCATGAACAATTTATCTATCAAATAAGTAAGCCAGTGACATCACGAACAATTTGTCTATCGAATAAGTAAGCCCGTGACATCACGAACAATTTATTTTTCAAAAAGTAAGCCAGTGAGATCACGAACAATTTATCTATCAAGTAAGTAAGTCCTTGAAATCAGGAACAATTTGCTCATCAAATAAGTAAGTCCTGGACATCACGAACAATTTACCCATCGAATAAGTAAGCACTTGACATCACAAACAATTTACCCATCAAATGAGTAAACCCTTGATATCATTAACAATTTACCCATCAAACAAGTGTAAATTACTTGTACCTGATGATGACAAAACCTTGTCGAAACGTTGTAAATTTGCTGTTATGTTAAACTTATATTAAAGTTTTTCTTCATTACCCATTCAAGCCGTCTCCAGCAATTATTAGTCTCAAAGTGGGTTCCTCGTCATCGAATTTATATCCAGGTTTGTTTGTTTTTAAATGAAACTCATATAATTATGTTGCATGACAAATCTCTGATAATTCGACAGTTTTATATCCAGGTTTGTTTGTTTTTAAATAAAACTTACATAATTATGTTGCATGACAAATTTCTGATAATTCGACAGTTTTATATCCAGGTTTGTTTGTTTTTAAATAAAACTTATATAATTATCTTGCATGACAAATCTCTAGTAATTGGACAGTGTTATTTCCAGGGTTGTTTGTGTTTAAATGAAACTTATATAATTATGTTGCATGACAAATCTCTGATAATTCGACAGTTTTATATCCAGGTTTGTTTGTTGCTAAATGAAACTGAGTGAATCTCAAACAATCAATCGTCTAAATGTAAAATTACTGTTATGAGTAGTTTCATTATTCTTTTATGATGTAGGCCTATTTCAAGATAATAATTCACATTTACTACTATTTGATTAGCTAGGTTTTTAACATGCGAAAAATAACATGATGTTGTGTATGAAGTATTTACTGTCGAAGGATAATTATGAAAACTTAGTTATGATTGGTATGGTACAACAGTTTCGATCGGAGATGTTTAACAATTTAACTAGAGAACCATTTCATTAAACCAACAATATTAGTAGTAGTAGAAACACAAGTATGTATTACATTCTAACTTAACGAAAAAAGTGGAATTCTCTAGCGTGGGACGAACACTAATGTTTTCAGTTTTTAGTTCGAGTAAGATAAAGACGCCTAAATTTTTCCTGAAAAACACTTCGCGAAATAAAACTTACTGATTTGTTTATTTTTACTATTTTATATTTCTTTATCTAAATCGATATAAATGTAAAAACACAACCGTGTGGAGGGAATTCCGTCAGTTTTTATTAACGGTCTTCTAAGTCCATAACATAGAAGTCAGCTATAAAGTCTAACTTAAACTGTTATTAAGTTGATAAAATAATTATGTTTGATTAACTCCTTAGGTTCGATGTAATTAAAGAAAAACATTTTTATGATTGTTCAATATTATTCACATATTGTATTTTTAATTAAGTGTTTTTGAAACTAATTTCAAGCTCTGGCCTGTCTTAAAGGTTCTGATATTCTAATTTATTTATATATGTGTTTCAGTGAATCGAACAAATCGTATATTTGTTTCACTTAATTACAGTTACCACATAAAGCGCCAAATGGTCGTATTATGCTTCTCTATAAGAAGCTTCCCAACGTCGTCTACCTTTGTGAATCTAGTATACAAAATAAAGATCGGATAGTTGTTCATTTTACACGCATGCGCCCCCCAGTGGCAGAGCGGTATGTCTGCGGACTTACAACGCTAGAATCCGGGTTTCGATACCCGTTTTGAGCAGAGCACAGATAGCCCATTGTGTAGGTTTGTGCTTAATTACAAACAAATACACGCATGTTTTATGTATGTGCCCGTATAACAGCAGTAATTAAAGAATTCAAACTTCCTTCTTTAAAAAAACAAACTGTTGTGGCTTAATAAACGTTAAGAACAAGAACTAGAATCACTGTTCGCAATATAAACATTACTTATCCATGCAAAAAAGTATCAAATGGACTGTAGGTGGTGGGAAAACTTTTCTCTCAACCTTATCTCTTTTATATATTTGTTGGTCTCGTAATTAAAAAAAGGTAAACTGTAACGACAATAAAGTTGATAAATTAAACTTTGTGCTGAAACGTCTAACTGTTATTTCGTTACGGATAAAGGCAACAGAAATAATAATCTGTACAATTTACAGAATGTTTAAATTTATTTATTTATTTACATTACCAGCAGAAAGATTTAACCAAGTACAAACGCACTAAACTGAAATGTACATATTAAATGTTCGATGGCGATTACTTGCACATTCCATTTCAATCAGTAGTCAGTATACCCCAGCTATAAAATTCCAACTGAAACTGAATCTTATATTTCATTCTGTATCTCTTTATCAGTTACTAGTAGACTTAGATATGTAACAAACAGACAGAGCGTGTCATCCTTTTTTTCCATGACTTTTTTCTTCGACTACTTTGACATCAGTTGGCACATGGTAATACAGACGACTGATATTAAGAAACAGGTATTGTTGTAGCTGTCTGAACTACATTGTGAGAACTTTCATTGTGAGTGTGAGAGCTCCGTGCTCTTTTAGTGAGGAAAACTTTGCTACAACCTTCTACAGAACACAGAAGGAGTTCCTCCACGTGAAACTGTTCGTAGTGGTCTTTCATTAAAATGCAGTCATTAAACGTCTTCTGACAGAACTCACACGTATATTGTCCTTCCGCACCAGGAAGAAGTTCTTCGTCTAATGTAACAGATGAGGATTTATTTTGATGATTCAGTTTTAGAGATTTTGTCTTTGACGGACACTCCGTAGAAGTCACTAGAGGGTTAGCTGAAGAATCTCGGCCGTTGATACTAACTATACCAACCATTCCTTCTGGAATAGAAGTAGAATTAGCGGGTGACATAAATGCTGGGTGAAAAGGTAAAACATGACCTATCGAGCCAAGGTGGTTAGGAAATGCCGGGCTAGTTGTCAAGCTTTCTGGAACACAAGTTGGTATTCTTCCTGGGTAGAGATCTGTGAAGTTTAAAGGTAAAGCCTGTGGATCATAGAGTCTAGAGAAGAAGTCATCTCTTAGAACACCCGTGTGATAAGGATAAATGTTGTTCTTCTCCAGAAATGGAGAAATTTTATCTGAGTTTGTTGAGAGAAGCTTTCTATGAAGATTTAAGTTAGCACTATGTCTGTCTCGACTTCGCTTGGATGGAAAGGCGGCGTTACAACCCTCCACTGTACATTTATGCATTAATTTAAGGTGAACATTTTGATAATGTGTTTTGACACCAAAATGGTTCTGAAAAATCTTTCCACAAGCAACGCAACGTCTTGGATTTTCTTTATCTACTGGAACATCTAAACTTCCCATATCCCGATATCCTGCCACGAGCGGAAAGTGCTGATCACAATCAGGGTTCGAGTCCTGTTCGTTGAAGCTTTGCCCCTGTGGGCCTGGAGTAATGCTCCTGGATGAAGCTGGATGGATCGTGTTGGTGGGACTACAAGTTGACTCTGATCGTATTGGTGCCGCTAGGCCCAAACCTGGTGCATGAAACGAAATACTTCCAGATAAGTGTTTGCTAGCAATGCTTCGGGTTGGAGTTGATACAATACTGGTAAAAGGGATCATGGACAAGCTTTCAAGATGGCGGAGGGGGTTTTCACTAATTTCACAGTCGATTTTTTTCAACTCATTACATTCAGACTTTCCTAAGGTGATGTTTTTTTCCTGGGTGTTACTATTTACAGGTGAGTGAGGTCGAACCTCTTCCTGCCTACAAGTATCCTGTTTTATGTTTTCAACCATGAAGTTAATTTTGTCCAGATCTTCATCTCTAGAGTCATCATGTATGTCGGAATATCCATCTTCTGATTTGGACTCGAAAAGATCATTATCTTCATTCTCATCGCCTTGGTCCATAAATGTATCGCTAGAGGATTCCTCTGTTGAAATGAACTCCATCTCATCATCACTAGTAACAGCACATTTCGTTGGTTTCAAACTTTTTCTTTTACGGACACCTTTACTTGAAAATGATGAAATTTCTTTCACAGACAGATTAATGCCCTCGTTGCTAAGTTCTGTGTTTTTTCTACTGTCTTCAGGACCGTGTTTTTTGGTTATAAGTAAATTTTCCGTGTCTTCGTTACTCAGTTTGGAAAGTTGGACCTGAGACTGTGACGATACTAAGATATCGTTTGAAACGGCAGCAGAAGACGACACTTGTGAAATGTCTTGTAACTTAGAAGTATCCCTGTCTACGTCTTCGGTATTGGAGGTAGGTACCAAATTGGTTTTCAAAGACACAAAGGCACTTGATGAAAGGGTAAGAAAAGGATTAGATGATCGTCCATCGTGAGGATTTATCCTTCTTCTGAATGTCGGTGTGTGAAGTTTAGGGTTAGGGTTTGCACTATGACGGTTACGACTTCGTCTCGAACTGAACATCATATTACATCCTTCTACAGTACATTTGTGCATTTCTCTCAGATGTACAGCACTAAAATGTATTTTAAGAGCACCTTTGTCACAGAATGTTTTAAAACAAACGTGGCATTGGACACGCTTCTTTCCCGTTGCAGGATTGGTGTTCAGAGTACTTAAAACAAACGGATTCCAGCGTCTCTTCATGGGGTTTGTAGACTTCCGTAAGTGTTTCACTTTCTTTGCCACATAAATAGAATCAAAATGATGAGTTCCCTTCTGACTAAGATTAATAGCGGTCTTACTGTCTTCCTCCGAGCCACCATCACTAATACTGAGATCAGAGTTGATTGTGGCGGTAGTGGTATGGTTAGTAAAAACTGTACTGACAGAAGGAACAGAGGTAGCTGGAGAAGACAGGGGGGTCGTACGGGGAAAACCTATAACTTCGTCACTAGCATGAAACTCTGGGCTGATCTTCTCTCTCCGATAGTCACATGGTTGCATAGTTTGGAGTTTGTAGTCACATGGTTGCATACTTTGGAGTTTGTTCAGGGGAGAGACTGTTACAGGGCTGGTGCAGTTGACGGGAGATCCTGCAGAGGGAGATAAGGAATGTGAGGAGCTGGTGCTAGATGGCTGGCGGCCATAAGAATCTCGACGGATACGTAACGAAGATGACACAGAAGACGAGTTCGTGAGCATGCTCTCTTGTTTTATGACAGCTGCTCCGGTCACCATGTTAGTTCTCTCAATAAATTTGCGGATATCAGAGTCCGTTTTTGGAAGACTTATCACTTGTTCAGGTTTGTCATTATTCAATTGGAGAAGAAGACGATGAGCAATGGCTTTAGTTTCTCCAAATCGGAGAAACTGGTGTAGAATCAATGGCTCCTCCTCCCGAGTGGATAGTATCCACTTTTCAAGAACATGACCAGCAGTGTCCTAGAATGAAACAAGAAAAGGTTCACTGACTGTAATAAGAAACTGAAACATTTCTCAAAATTAACTAACACTCGTGAAATGAAACTATAAATGAAGTTCGGTTGTTTTTTGTTTTGTTTTTTTGACAGTAAATTAACATACAGGTTAATAAGTCTGCGTTATAAATTCACAACATTTCTATTGAGAATGTAATGACTCTATAAGTTATACTCTAGCAATAAGGGAATTTTATCTAAATAAACAAGTTTATATAAAAACGTGTAATATTTGTTAGAAAAAGGATATCATTAAAGTATAATCAACATTTTGTTATTAATATTGAAACATATAAACCTGTTATAAATAACTGAATAAATTAACTCTAAAGAAATCTGTGTGTGCAGCGTCATTCTAAGGTTTAACTTTTGTTACAACACATTAATAAATCGAAACAACTCTGTCCGATCACTGGACACCACATTTCTGGTAAATTATTCATCATCTGAAAACTCATTGACTTTCCTCACTTCTATTACAAGAGCAAGTCACATAAGATACAAGTTTCTTAAGCTAGTGTTTCTTCACGCTATAATTTCATAATGCTATAAGGTATCCAATCGTATTTTAAACATAGCTATTTTACAAAATGTCAAAGATGTTTTGGCTTTCAATAAGATTTGTAAGTGGACGAATTTAAACATGTTTATGTCTGTATTATACTGTAAAGATACTAATTTAAACATGTTTAAGTCAATATTATACTGTAAAGATACCAGTTTAAACATGTTGTTTAAGTCAGTATTATACTGTAAAGATACTAATTTAAACATGTTGTTTAAGCCAGTATTATGCTGTAAAGATATTGTACTTTAAACATGTTGTTTAAGTCAGTATTATACTCTAAAAATACTGATTTAAACATGTTGTTTAAGCTAGTATTATGCTGTAAAGATATACTAATTTAAACATGTCGTTTAAGTCAGTATTATACTCTAAAGATACTAATTTAAACATATTTAAGGCAGTATTATCCTGTAAAGATACTAGTTTAAACATGTTGTTTAAGTCAATTTTGTACTGTAAAGATACTATTTCAAACATGTTTAAGCCAGTATTATGCTGTACAAATACTAATTTAAACATGTTGTTTAAGTCAGTATTATACAGTAAAGATTCTAATTTAAACATGTTGTTTAAGGCAGTATTATACTCTAAAGATACTAATTTAAACATGTTTAAGTCAGTATTATGCTGTAAAGATACTAGTTTAAACATTTTGTTTAAGTCAGTATTATAGTGTAAAGATATAAATCTAAACATATTGTTTAAGTCAGTATTATACTGTAAAGATACTAATTTAAACATGTTATTTAAGTCAGTATTATACTGTAAAGATATTAATTTAAAAATGTTATTTAAATCAGTATTATACTGTAAAGATACTAATTTAAACATGTTATTTGAGTCAGTATTACACTGTAAAGATATTAATTTAAACATGTTGTTTACGTCAGTATTATACTTTAAAAATATAAATTTAATCACGTTCTTTAAGTCAGTGTTATACTCTAAAGATATTAATTCAAACGTGTTTAAGTCAGTATTATGCTGTAAAGATACTAATTTAAACATGATTAAGTCAGTATTATACTGTAGATATACTAATTTAAACATGTTGTTTAAGGCAGTATTATACTGTAAAGATACTAATTTAAACATGTTGTTTAAATCAGTATTATACTGTAAAGATATAAATCTCTGTTTTGTTTTTTAAACTCTGTAATTAGGTTATTGTTTTAAGATCGATGTAATTTTGTATTGTATATTTATTTGTATTATAAGATTAGATTTTATGGTAAAGAAGGAATTTAACCTGGTGTAAAACTCAGTGAATCTCTTAGCTCGGAGGTGACAGTGATGTAATAGTTTACATTGATTTTGTTGTGGTGAACTGTTGCCATGGTTTATGTTTGTAGTATACAGGTATGTAGAAAATAAGATATCCGTTTTAAAATGAGTTTAATTTTGGTATAACTGTTGCCATGGTTTATGTCTGTAGTATACAGGTATGTAGAAATTAAGATATCCGCTTTACAATGAGTTTAATTGTGGTAGAACTGTTGCCATGGTTTATGTCTGTAGTATACAGGTATGTAGAAATTAAGATATCCGCTTTACAATGAGTTTAATTGTGGTAGAACTGTTGCCATGGTTTATGTCTGTAGTATACAGGTATGTAGAAATTAAGA